TCACATATGGACCTGGAATATCTTTTCTCCTAATATGGAGATGGCTCAGCAGTATTTAAATGACTCCTTATTCCAAGTCATATAAATATGCACCAGATGTATCTTTTGTAAATGTTATGTTTTTCAAGTTCTCAGCATTTGCAAGTAGTTGAAAGCTATGTCAAGCACGCTTTAATGGGGCATAAAAGTGTATTGTATTCAAAGAGATGGTACCGCTTTGTAATAGGGGGAAATACAAATGCTGTCGATGGCTACATTTCCACTTATTGATTTATGCTGCACAGCGGAGTGGTCTGTATTCTTTGCACACAAGTTCCCTATCAGTTCGAATCTAACCACAGACAAGAAGTCATGCCTCCATTAACGGATTCTCTAAATGACAGAAAATTCCCAACACTCTGAGAATCTTGGTAGACAGAGACTTAAAGGTCAGCTCGATCCCACACCCAGATTGAACAGATGAGCAAAGCTGAACCCCAAAAGTGTTACACTGTAGTAATCTCAGCACTGAGCTGCTGTGGGAGAGGGTGCAGAAACTTCTAGTCCCTGAGCCTGAGAAATTTCCCTGTGCTCTCTCTCCTCAGCCCCTGTGCCCTGCACAAAAGCATAAACAGTCAGAAGTGGAGCATCGATCACGTGCTGATTTCCTGGAAAAACTGTCATCTATGTTTTTTTTTTTTCAAACTGTCGAAGTAGCTTGTAGGAAGTCAGCGTAGGGAGTAAAATGTCATGCAATGGTCAGCACTAATGGTTTTCAAAGAAGATCATAAGGCCTTTCTCTGATATGAAATTTATCTGACCCAAGATGAGCTTTTTCACTGAGACACCCAATAAAAGGTACCCAAAAGGTACCAAATAAGTTCCCCTCCCAACATTTTTTGATGTTATACACACACACATACACACACACATATGTGTGTGTGTATGTGTGTGTATGTGTGTGTGTGTGTGTGTGTGTATCAAAGATGGCTAAGAAATGTTTTCAAGTCCCACAGCAACCAAGTTGAAAATGTTTTGGGTTATTTGGGGTGGGGGTGCATTGCTTTGGTTTCTGTTTCTGAAGTTTTGCTGTTGTTGTTGTTGTTTGTTGTTTGTTTTTCTGTTTTTGTATTTATAAATAACCAAGAATGATTCCTCATTGCACAACTTTTTGTCTTTTTGTTAAGGAGAAAGAAGATCCTTTTCTCCTGGAATTCCGTGTGGCTGGAGCCTGAGAAGGAAAGTGTTTACTACCACACCTTAGCCACCCCTGACTCTGGCCTGCTTCATCTCATCACCATGGACTGCCTCCAATCGTTCCTGGGAATGAGACAGACTATTAAATAATGAACCAGCTAGGTAAGAAGCATTCTCTGAAAGGCAAGCAACTTTTCACTTTGACCTTTACAAATAGCATCTTGCCCTCCCAGGCCCAAGGCAGCCGTGAAAAATCTCATGTAAAAATGAAGTCGTAATTGAAGTTTTCACAGACTGCGTGTCCCCGTTCCCGTGAGTGGTGTACCCCTGCTTCACAGAGTTCCACAGCTGAACATATGTCCTCTCTGGCTCCAGATGAAAGCACATATTTTCTTTCTCTAGCCAGGATCCAGGTTTTGCACACCAGGTCAGTGCATGAACCAGTAGCTCACAGTCCAGAGAAGATGCAGGCAAGGCCAGCTCAGAATCCGCCCTCCGTGGGCAATGCCAGGTGCTTATGAAACACTGCCACTGTTTCCCAAGCAATGTCACGGCTCCTAGAAGTTTGGGCAGTGGTCCTACCTATGTGCCATAGTCACTCACTAGTCAAGCTGGTGTTAAAGGCTTGTCCATCACCACTGGTTCAGGTTCCCTCACAAGAAGGTCAAAGGCTCCTGTGCCAGCAATCAATGCGTGGTTAGGGGTGTTGCTCTCCACCAGTAAGTAATTATTTTTCCCCAGGGTGCTGGGAGACACAGAAGCCAATGCTTTTCTGTCCAGACGGGGAGTACAAGAGGGAGTGTAGATACACCCATGCTCTTGCCAAGAGGCTTAGTCTAACTTGCCATGCTTCTGTGTGAATGCGGCATCCACAGTAGAGTTGTGCCAAGTTAAGATGGGAACCTTCTTCTGTTCTTGTTATCACAAAGGGCAGGGATATGGGGAGGACATAGTCACAAAGGGTCATGTGGCCTTAGGAACGTTTGCCACCTTTGTTCTGCTACGAAATGGGGTGAGGGGCCTGAACTCACCGAATGACACAGAAGCACTTCGCAAACTAACATAGAGAGGTCCTGAAGGGGCCATGTCCGGAGAACTCCACGATGCAGAAGCAAGGACAGAAAGCAGAGGCACACATGTCCCCTCACCTACACACAAATTCAGAAAATAGTAAACCGTTGCTATTGGAAGACAGCGTCTTTAGCAGACAAGCTACAACTTGGAAACGCAACATCACCATACCATGACCTTGACAGGTGGCAGAGCCCTGTGTCACTCAGCTGGTGCACCTGTCAATCCTCAATACAAAGTCCACCTTGAACAGCATTCGAGTAGGAGAATACAGATAAGGTTCAAGCTTTAATGCCTGGTTCATTATCATTTATTTAGTAAACTCTAGTAATATTATTATTAGTGCCTCTGTCCGCAGGGGCTTTATGATGGTGGAAACCCCTGCATCACCCTGCTCCTAAATGAGGTGCTTTCTCAGAAGAGTTCACCTTTTCTCACACCCTGGAAAGAACTTGAGCACACAGGACTGGAATCTGGTCCTCCAACCCAGGCCGAGGAATTCAACACACAAGAGAAGGGACAGGAAAGGGGACAGGACCCAGGTGAGGACCCACATGATTGCCTTCTGTAGCCTGGCTTTAGCATGTGTTCGCGGGCACAGTGACCTGACCACATTGACAAAGTCACCTGCCCCTTCTGATAAAGTTCAGACTGAGGGTAACAAGGACAGTTCTAGAGACGGCCTAATGAATATTCCCTATGTTCACAGATCCTAGGCTCCCCTCTCTGTCCACTGTGAAAACAATGACCTTAACTTGTTTTTCATTCCCAGAGGGCACAAAGGGAAAATCTTACCCAATTTAAAGTGTCGCTAACGAGATGTCTATTGGGAATGAGCCCAAATGAGATAATCTCACATCCAGCAGGTTGATACTCCTTCTACCAAGGACTCTCCCTAAGAACACAATCATGCTGAATTGACAGCCAACAACCATAGTCAGGAGAGAGGTTGCCCTTCACAACACCGCTTCCCCAATCCCACCAAGGCCAGCCCTTGCCTTCTCTGAGTTACCCTAAAGACAATAATACCCTGAGAGACCAATCCAACACCTTCTCAAGGCCTGCTACTCAGAACTGTACCACATTTAAAGCAAAAAGCTCAGACGAGCATTGAGAAATAGAAAACAAACCTAACCCAGTGGTTAAAATGCACTGATCCTTTATGGGGATATACGTATATATATTGTGTATGAAGAGATATATACATGAAGATATATATCAATATATATATATTTTCTTTTAATATCCACATAAATCAATTTGGCTGTTACCCACCATCATTGAACTACAAGCAAAGAACAGATCATGTATGCACTTGGTCCTGCATTGATGTCTAAACCTGGAGTGTAGAGCAGATACACAGCCCAGGCCCCGTGAAGAGATTTCTATGAGACATAAGTTCAACTGGAGCTACTCCCAAACCACACAAGAGTTAGAGAAACCTGGTAGGCAGGCAGTGTTTAGTAGATGGGGGTGGGGTGGGGGGCAGGAACTTTGGTGGGGCCTGGGCAAGGAGAAGAGGTGTAGCCCTGGTCTCAGCCATACTCCTCTGAGGGATTCCTTCCTTGATCCAATTCACTTCCTATTCACAATTGATTTTCCTCGAAGAACCCTCATCACTGAAGGCCTGAGAGTCTCACAAATGAGACTTTTGCTACCACATAGCACCATAGTTGCAACGTCAGGAATGGGCGGCAGCCATTATCTCTTTTTGTTTATAATAAAGAGAGGTTTTGAAAAATCACAACACAACCGTTTTTAGTGTCTGAGTTTGGGGCTTTGCTTTTTCTCTTCTTTCTTTAAGGCTCAGGCTAAAGGCAGCTGATAGTGGCCAGTCCTGATTGGCCAACATCTGCTTCTTTACAGGGACCTTACTTGCCAAGTAGCTGGACAGCAACCCCCATTTGGTATTCATGGGAAGTGCTTGCCGAAGAATAATGACAATAATTGCCTCTGATTCTTGTGTTTACAACACTGCCAAAGTATCATTAGGGCCTTATTTATAGATAATAATGCTTATTAATCACAAGTATTTGAATTTTGGAATGTATTAGATTAATATTCTTTTGTACCTCGGCTCTGTACTAATGTTGTGAAAGGCGCTCACTGAATGCAACTCATCGGGAATGCTTATTTTGAGCGGCAGAATAATGCGTGTAACTCGCAGGTGAAAGATAGAGAAATTCCATGGCCACCTCTCCACTGCCTCCACAGAGGCCGATGGCCAATGGGGAGAACCAGCCTGGCCTCTTAAACGAGAAGGAAAAGAAAGCAAAGTAAATAGCCCTATAGGTATTTTTTTTTAAAGAAAATCTTGTAAATACTGAGCTTGCGAGACATTTCTGACCGTATGTGTGTTGTTCTGTTTTGCCTTAAATCTGTGGATGGATCATTTTATTGGGAATGGTCTGGCATGAGGAACAGTCATTGATAGCTGTATAGTGCAAATGTTTTTAAAAACTCCATGGAAGAAAAAAACATTAAGTGGTTAATAAATCGGGTAGGCACACCACCTTGATGTCTAAACACCTACTCATTACAGGAGCCACCGTGCACTTATTTGCTAATCTCTTTCTACACATTTAATTTCTGGGCAGGCGTATATGTCACCTAGTATTTCTCTAACGTTTGTGTACAACTGAAAACAGGAGTCATTAAAATTTTCAGAAGAGTATCATCATTTTTCCAGGTTAATGCAATCTCCATTAGTATAATAAAAAACAACAACTTTATAAATAAACAGACAGCATTACCAGTTCATAGTCCACTCGGCCTCCTCTCTCCAGAGATTGCACCAGACATGAATTCTGCAGGGTTTTCTTCTCCTCTAACACACATTTCTGTTTACCTTGCAGTGTTCCCGCTGTGTGTGGCGGAACAGTGTTCAGCTTGTTTAATTAGAGGACTGCAAAGTAACGAAAGGGACATGATTCTCCAGGAATTTTTTTTCAGAATAAAAGCAAAGTTTATCAACAAAAAGTCCAGGTGCCCTTTCCTTCAACAATATTTGCAACTAGATAAGACTTTTAAAGGCGCCTGTAATTAATGTCTCCTAATGTTCCTTAGCTAAACCCGTATCGGTTCAATGCCATGCTGTTCTACACACCACTTTAAATTGTCCCCAGCCCCATTGCCACCCACGATAATTAACCTTGTCTTTTCTCCTCCTCTCAACTTTGTCCTCCATAAAGTGTGAGGGGGCTACGTCTTTAAATCACCAGATTACACGACGAGAACTGCCCCCCCAAACAGGAAAAGCCTGGAAGACTTGTTCAACAAATGTTTCCAAGTCTGATCATCCAAAGAGACTAAGACCCTAATTCATTACAAGTAAAATGGAAAAAAAAATAATTTACAGCTTAATATAAACAATTTTAGTGTTCCCAGTTGGGTCCTTTACTTCAAAGCATGGTGTGATATGTGCATGTGAACTCTCAACGAGTCAAAGCAGGAAGGTGGACGGCTACCCAACAATTCAACCAGTATCCATGGCAAGGTCTGGTAAGTTGGGCCCCTCAACCCTCTTTATATAAGTCTTGGCAGACACACTGGTCTCAGCTCTGTGCAGAGGTGCACGTCCATATATGCAGGGGTATACATCCATCTGTGCAAGGGTGCATGCCCATCTTTGTGGACGTTGCTAGAAGGACGAGTCACCACTGGATAGCTGGCAGACTTAGTCCAGATCATCCGAATTCACTACGACAGCAGATTTAGATTGCACAATTTTCACTAATTTTTTTAATGGTGAGAAGAGAGGGAGGGCAGACATACCTGGATTATACAAATAATTACTCAATTCTCCCATTTATTTTTGCCTTCTTCAGATAAGATGCCTGAAGATGGCATTGTCTCTTTAAAAGATGCTGTTACTTGGATGAGGAAGTAAAGTAAGGCTCTGAGAGGCCCCAGATCCTAGGATAACTGAGTTGTACCACTGAAGTGGAAGGATGGAGGTTGAAGATCTCATACCTCCCTAGGTATTGCTGAGCCCCACTACACATCTCCCCCAAATGCTTACAGACTTGGTGTGGGAGACGCAAGAGACAGCTATGGAAGAGAAAAATGGGGAGGGAGAAAGGGGGAAGGGAAAGAGAGAGACTAGTCTATGAATCTGAGTTTAAATTTGAGGGTATTGAGAAGATAATTCTTTATGAAAAATGGTTTGACAGAATAACTTATATTCCACCAACACCCCGCAGTTTTCTACGAGCCTAGTTGGATATGAAACTTGAGATCTGTCAACATTTTATACTTCCCTGAATTAATAAGCATTTTTCCTTCTTTTCTTTAACTGCCAAATTTTTTAATGAAATGGAATCTTGGATGCCTACGTTCTGGGGTTTTTTATTTGCTATATTATAGTTGCCTGCTTTTAGGCCATGAATGCCAAAGTCTTTATTCTTACAAATCTCTCTACATGTGTAATTTGAGCTGGCTAACTAGTTCTTTACCCACTTCATTAATTAAATTGACAGAAAAGGTTATTTTCCCATGTTGTGGTGAATGACTCTTCAGAGGAATGTTTGAATGAACATTTCAGTCTTAAGTTAATATGTAGCCCCGTGTCCTCAGATCACACCACAGCAGCAGATAGGAAACTTGCTCAATTTTAGAAAAAAAAAAAAAAAGAACATTTTTGAAACTCATCTTAAACTGCTAACTAGAGAAAAATGTTTTGTTTTTAATTTTGACGTGTTATTACCACCATTTTAATTTTGAACTTTTAAAGAGATTAAGGATCAAAGTTTAAAAAAATATTGGACTAAACTAATTTTTAGTTCACATTTTTGTCACTAATATTTGGGGATCGTTGATGAGTCATAAACCTTTTAAGTGCTCTTCCAAACAAATAATAACAAATTACACTAGGGAATCACTGTCACCATGAACATATATATTTTGCAAGGCAAATGTACTTTTATTTGAACATAAAGACTCAAGATTATTTTAAAATATCAGTGTAAAAATCATTCATAAAAATGTCCCTGATCACAAGATTCAGGAAACTTCAAAACTTTATCATTTTGATTTGTTCAACTAGGACCAATAGACCTCAAAAAAGAAAATTCAGGTCCGACATTTCTTTACATTTATTTAACACAAATGAACGTTTGGAGTCCTGCCAATGAATGTCAATATATTCATTTTGACGGTAATCCCTAACAGCAACAACAAAAATAAAGCGTCCAAAAAATCTGAAGATTCAAAATACCACTTAAAAGAAGCAAGTATGTAATACGTCACCCCACATCTATGCAAATTATTTCAAGGGCAAATACATACTTCAAATTTGCTTCTTGAACAGTGTTCGCCTACAGACCACCTTTTAGTGCACAGCGAGGCCTATAATAGTAACTACCGCAGTGTGGTTTCTTTACAATGGGGAGAGTAAAACAAAATTGTTGCTCTTTCTTTCTTCGTATCGGGATTTAATGTTTGATCTAAGATGATAGCATTTAATGTATGAAAAAGGGACAAAAGGAAAAAAAATCATCTGACTTTAGATGGAATGTTTATGTTTTAAATGTGCCTTTTTAAAAATGTGCTGCCATTTTTTAATTCTACACAAAACACATTATTTAAGGGCAGAGTACTTTTTCAATGGGCTTAACATAGTGATAGGAATCTCTTCTTCTTTTCTGGGGTGTCAGCTACCAAAAGCCCAATTCGCATTTGAAAAGAAATCTTGACTTGTTTCAGCATCAGATACACCCAGTTCCTCTTGCTTTGAGTTGCTGCTATTTAATGCATTGTTAATCATAGAACTTCGGTATACTGCACATGGATGGGCATGTTCTATGCAAATATATTCAGTTGGGGTATGTATATATTTTGTTATGTTCTGTACATAAACATCTACCCTTGTGCATATGTATATTTACATCATGTGTAAATATGTGGAGTATATTACCAAACTGTACTCTACTTAAGAGGAGGAGGAGTTTCGAAGGGGTGCCAGGCAATATTTTAGTTAACTGTTAACTGAGTACTTTTTTTTTTTTTTTATGAAAGCCATTAAGTTGTATTTTGGGTTTTGTTTTTCACAGTCCCAAAGGTGGGTGTTGACAGACACGATTATTTCCTGTGTTCCAAAAAGGCCGGTTTTAAAATATTATGTTAACATCTGCTTTAAATAATTAAAAGAGGAACCATCCCCTCAGCATCTACCTTCTCCTAGCAAAGCCTGTGGACAGAGATCCTGATAAACCATTCAAAGAGAAACTTAACTTTAATTTCACACGCAAAAGCTCATCCACTGAAACACCAACATCCCACCATTAACATGCTTTGTGAAAATGTGGTCCTTTCTAAATTATCTCATGAAAAGGACTGGCTGACACTGTATCAAGATGCTGGCTGCAATGGCCTCTTGGGGTGGGTTAGTGTGTGCCACAGTTACTCAGAGGTTTTCTGCTGAACAGAAGGTCTCCAAGAACTACACCCTAGCAAAGTCCTCTAATATTAGTAGATCCAAGAAATTGATGTATAGCATATTCACACGTGATGCAAATATACATATGCACAAGCATACATGTTTATGTACAGAACAAGATCTACACCCATCCCAGCTGAATACATTTGCATAGTAGGACATGCTCATGTACAGGAGACCAAACTTCTAGGGCTAACAGCAGCAGCTCAAAACAGAAGAAAGGGAATCTTTTCCCTATTGAAAAAAAAATGTCATTGATATTTCTTAATTATTAGAAAACCTTGGGTGCAAATTGTTGTGCAACAGAGGGTAAGTGCCAGCAAGGGCCATGAAGTTTCTTTCTGTGATCTTCAGAAAGTTCACGGTACAAAAATGCATGTAGCTTCACAGCCCAGAAGAGAAGGAAATCTTTAATGTGTTTATAAAGGTCCCTGTTCTGTCTCCCCTTGAGGAGTGAACAAACTGGAAGGGACACAGAAAGGAGAGCGAAACAATTCCTGGTTAATGATTTAAGAGAGAGGAATTTATTTTGCCCCAACTTTCCTTTAACTAGTTCACTTTTTTTCCCATGAAGAGATATTTGATAGCCCTTGTTCTTTATGAAATTATGGAAATCACAGACTAGAAGAATGGGGAGTCATTATTTCAGAACTGAAAAGAGGTAGGTGTCCTTACTTCCTCCTTAAATTGCCCATTACTGGAAAGGAGCCAGGAAGTCGAAAAGGTGCACAACAGACCACGATTATGGGCTGAAGCCCATGTTCTTTCTCCTCCGTATTCCGCCAAAACCAAACCAAACAAACAAACAAAATCCTTAAGACCAAGACAGAGAGAAAGTAGCTACCCTAAGGACTCCCTAAAACGTGGCTTTTGGATGCATGAACCCCAGTGTAAAGCAAGAAAGATCAAGCTGTATGATTCTGTTACATCTCCAGTTAATATTGTCCCTGTCGGCTTTACCTTTGCTCACGTGGGGCCGGCTATCCATAACAGCCCCGGAACCACGAGGGACCACAAGGGACATCTCTGGGGATCTGCAGCGATGACCTAATCGAAAGAGAGAGGACGCAAAATCGAAAGATAGAGAACCAGCCTGGGGCAGACAGAGGACTTTAGGTACCCACACTGGCGGAAACCGACTAGTTAGCACGGAGCATCCTGCTGCGCCTCCTGTCCTGCCTTTCCACGCTCTGCCCTGCCCTGCCCGGAGCTTCCCTGCGCGCGCGCCTCACTCACACGCACACACGTGCGCACGCACACTGCTTCCAGCAGCGCCTCTTGCCAGACCGTAGGGCTACGTCCCCCTCGGAGGGGCGGCGGCCCTGCCCCGCCTGGCACAGTCCCGCAAAGGGACAGAGAGGCACTGGGGTCTCTGGAGAGCGTGGGCCGCGACCGAAGACGTACGGCGGCAGGTGGTGGCAGGGGCTTCTCAGTGGAAGGCGCGTAGCAGCGGGAGGGAACAGCGTGGG